GCAATACACTAGATGCAAGCCTTCATGCTCAATGACTACCTCGTACCATACAACTCTCTGTAATACAACTATAATACAACTGAATATTTATATTTATAGTATATCATAAGAATTCATCAGTGGGATGTAGTCCTTCACCCACGTTTTGCTACCGGTTCCTAAATAACACACAAACAAATATTTTGAAAAAATACAACTGTGATCTCAAAATCCATGATGTTTGATACGATATATTTATACATACTTGATTGGACGTTATATCGGTCGTCACTGCCATCCCTTCCATGTCACAGCATCGCTCAGCATTCTAGCTCAGCATTCCCGCACAACGATACAGTCTGAATGCACTCTCTCTGTTTCTTTCCCGATGCCATTACCGCCCACAAACGTTTCGTGGTTCCCGGCGGAGTGCACAATACTATCAACGTGCGAGATGCGCCTAAGTCGACAGGGGGACACCGCTTGGCAGGATGAATGTTGTTTATATTCACTCGTATCAATGACAAAGAGCAGTCTGAACGCATATAATGAATACATGGGTAGAGACATCGGGCAAGTATTTGTGATAGAAAGTTACATCCGTGCTTGTAACAAATTTAATGAAAAACGTCAGAAAGAAGTTGTGTATCGGTCCGGGAATGACATCCTTTTAGTCATAACATCTTAGCGTGCCTAACTATACTGACATCCTTTTAGTCATAACATCTTTGCGTGCCTAACTATACCGAGCAGACTATAGCAAATTCTATAAAGACTAGATATCGAAACAGCACGATGACTACTTGATTCGGATAATAGGCATGAGAATAGGCATGTGTATCAAAAGCTGCTAATATGCAACCGGTTTCAAGTATTGTTCACGTCTCCAGTCTGATCGCTGTATTTCATATATTTATTTAATGATCATATTTCATAGGTGGCTACGTAATAACCTATATACTTTTTAAAGAAAAAAATGTTCTGAACTGCAATAATTAAGTCTATAGTGTATCCAATAACAAAACAACTTCTTCTATGTTAATTAAACCCCATGATATAGAGTACTCCTCGCCGAATAGGATCAAAGGATAGGGGTGAATTTGTTTAGCATGCAACGCGTGGGAGAATGGCATGCGCACACAACAGTCCGAACGTACTACCGCAAGAACTGTGCGGTAAGCCCATTCCTCACACAGTCGAGCTTGTGCTATTGTGCTCCCGATCTTCATTTGATCATTCTCTCGCACTTGGCACTGTGAGACGACTGTTTAAAGCTCGCACGCGAAACCAGTATCGATGGCGGAAGTCAGGTCTCCCTTTGGTTTATCCAGCGCAATTCGAGTTGTGTGATAACTGAACACCGCAGTGAAGAAGGCGAAGACAACTAGCATGTACGACCATCCTACCGAGCAATCGCCGGAGTTGTAGTAGTTTGCACTTTCTCCACACATTAAAGAGCTTTTTGGGTTCTCAGGGTTCCACCAGCCCACATGGTAAGTCTGTAGGTTCGCAAAACTGACCGGGAACATAAGTATCGCTAACAGTAGCGTGCATATGGTGAACCACACATATACCACTGCAATGCCATACACACGAGACTTGTCCTTGACAAAGAAGGCATAGATGGTCGCTGTTAGGATCATTGCCATGAAAGTAAGTGCCCCAGCTACTAGCAGCAGCGTAAATGCCCACATCTGATTGGGATAGTGGAACATAAGATCTCCTCCCCACGATCGGGTCTCGGATTTATATCCAGCCTTGGTGTGATAATCGTAGCTGATGCGGAACAATCCATATTTCATATTCACGTACCCATCATACTTTTCATACTCCACAGCGAGATCCGTTCGTGTCAGTGTTCGATTGCTGTAATCGATTGTCAAGAAGTCCTGAGTGTAGTTCTCGAAGGGATTAGTTGTAATATCCTCAAACACATTCCCATAATCATCGTAGTACGATATGTTCAGGTACTCGATATTCTTCGTCTTCACATCTCGTATCACGTCAGCTACACTATCTACTGCGAGTGTAGTGTTCACCAGCGTAGTTGTAATCTAGATATGTTGACATAAAATGCACTGAATTTGTACTGTCCGAATTTATCCCTGATCCGTTTGACTGTCTGGGGATCCAGGTTGTATATTATACTCTCCGTTTGCTTAGTCTCCACAGCAGATTGTTGTCTAGTTTTGATATTCACCTCTGTGAAATTAACGCGATCCAAAAGAACATCATCCGCTTCCTCAGTGTAGAAAAT